TCAATAAAAAAATAAAATATTTATCAAATAAAAACACAAAAGAACTCCTTCAAGATAAAATAAAAAATAATATATTATAAAGAACTAAATGGTAACCGCAAAACAGAATGCGACAGAATAATAAGCATTAAGAAAATACACCCAAATTCCCAGCTTTTGATCTACTTGCACTTCAACCCTATCGTAATAAACCCTCATAGCACTGTTCGAACTTGTAGTGACCGAAATTCGTGTTCTTTACTGTAACTTGTGCGATGAATCTCATGTCAAATGACGCCGGGGAAGGTCCGGTAGGGGCGGTGGTTTGGAAGCGTTGGATGTCGATTGTGCCGAACCTCATCTTAGGGTTCCTAATGCGCATGAAAGTCAGTGCGAAAGCCAGGATGATGATGGTCTGGAACACCGCAAAGGCGGCGATGTAGACTGCCCATTTGATTCTTTTCTTCCGTTTCAGTTCCTTGGTCTGGATGCTCACTGCCTCGTCGTCACTCCTCGGGTAGCCATTCGCCGGAGCCAGGGGATGCACTTTCTGGGTCTTCTCAGCCACTTTTCTTGTATATCAGACTCAAACAAAGGAAATGTTTTTCCTAGTATCTCTGTTTTTCTGCCTTTCCCAAAAAATTAAAAGAAAAAGGTATCTCTGTTTTTTTGCTTAGTTTCCCCTGTTTTCTTTGAGAGTTGAAGAAATGATGTAATAGGTTGTGGTAGATCCAGGGCGACAGGGCTTATATATAGTGTTTGTAAGGGGAAGACAATTTCCTGGAAGGTGCACGAAAATGAGGAGAAATATGTTTTGATTCCAAACGCTGTAAAATTGACATGATTGGTTTCTAGATGGTCACTTGACTTGGGAAGAAGTCCATATCTTATTATGTATGAATATTTAGATGATGAATTATGACACCAAGAGAAGTCTCTAATATACGTATCTGTTAAAAGGAAGACAAGGAACCCAGAATAATAGTGGATGAACAGGATATAATTATAATAATACTACAATTGCAGCATAAACACTCAATAAAGAGACCAGAGTTACTGCACACTTCGATTGCGGCTAACGTCGCAAGTGCCACTTTGTTGACTTTCGGGACATATTGATGTGGCATCTGCATGAATTAGTTTCTGCAAATTCATATGGACGCCCTTGACCAACCAATATTTTTCGTTTACAGTACTTTCTGTGACAACAATCAATACTAAAATTTTGATTTTTAGCAACAAATATCAGTAACATGGGATCCTTTGTTGCTGAAAAATTGTATCACCAACAAAGTTTTAGTTGCTAAAAGCTATTTAGTACATTTCTCCTCTCCAAAAGTTGTTCTACTTTTAGCAACAAGAGGTATGTTGCTGAAAGTAAATATTAGCAACAAACCTTATGTTGCTGATATTTTTCGATAGTTCTACACCGGATTTTTCCCCCCAAATAAGGGTCTCATTTTTAGCAACATGTCCCTTGTTGCTGAAAGCAACAAGAACTATGTTGCTAAAAATTTTAATCATTTAAAATTTAATCATTTGATAGTGTGGCCGGAATTTTTTTATTTTAAATTTTAGCAATTTAATACACGTCGATGATGAGTAAAGGAATTTAAATTTAAATGAGTTTTAGCAATATGATATAGGTTGCTAATAGAGGGGTAGACTTTCAGCAAGAAAGGCTAAGTTGCTGAAAGTTATTTATATAC